TGGTTAGCAGGCAAGTGTCTTAGCCACTATGCTACCAGAGCTCCTAAGTTCCATCCAAAAAAGTAGTGAAATAAAATACAGTCCCCTTTTCAGAACTGACTCAAGAGAAATCACATTCACATATTTAATATTAACACTGTTGTTTTAAAATGCCTTAGGAAGTTATGAGGAACCTGGTGAAGCGATATGTTGCTGCAATGATTCGAGATGCTAAAACTGAAGAAGGCCTTACAGAGGAGAACTTTAAGGTAACTGTTTTCCTCTGCATCCAGACAAGAGGTGGATTCAGCAGAGTGTGGAACTAGATACACCATGTTTAAAATCAGAGCTGGAAGCTTAGCTCTGTGTTCCAACAAGCAAACCTGCAGTCTCCTCATTTTTAAGTTAAATCCTTGTTGAACTGTAAAAAAGTTACAAGAGGTTAAATTTCTTCTCAAAATAAACTGTTGTCAAGTTTACTTAATCGAAACTGTCAAAGGGACTTATTTGGAGACAGAGAAAATCCTAGTGCCTTGTGGCATTCTGACTTGCTGATCCCAGCAATGCTTTCCTGAGTGAGCTTTATTTTTTGAAATCTCATCCTGATTTCTAAGTCTGAAATATTTAGTAAGCACCATGCTAACAAAACAAAAAGCCCTGCTGTGTGCATGACAATGCTTTGATAGCCTGGAATTAAAGAGTGAGTTTCATTAACTTAAATGAATCTTTCTCCTTGAGTTTTTTTTCTGTTTGTTTGTTTTGTTTGTTTGTTTAATTCTGTCAGATGGTACGGGGTGGGGGTGGGGGGAGCGGGTATTTGAAATATTATGGGGAACTCTGGTGGCATAGTGCCTAAGGCACTTGACTACTAACCGAAAGGCTGGTGGTTCAAACCCATCAGCCACTCCCTGGAAGTAAGGTTGGGCAATCTACTTCCATAGTGACACTGCCTCGGAAACCCAAGGAGGGGTCACTGAGTCAGGTCCAACTTGATAGCACATAACAACAACAACAAAATCACAACAATTAAAATAATTTTGTTATTCTCCATGAGTATTTAGAGATTTGGGGAGAATGGTTAAAGTCAATATGATCTTAATTGGCAATAAAAGAAAAGCAAAAATCTCTATAGTAGAATTTTAGCAGGGCAAAGCAGACGGTTTGGCAAAAATAATGAGGATAAGCAGCCAGTTAGGTAAGTAGACAAATTGCAAAACTTAACGCACAAATCGAAAGTGGGCTATGATCCAAAATACACTTTTCAGCCACAAAATACAAATCTTGAAGTTAAACGATACATGATGTTTTATGAGAGGCATGCGAGGTAGGTTGGAGGCAGGAAGCCACTATGAAGTCTATCATCAGATTACCAGTATCTGCACCAGTTGTCATCCAGCTGCCTTTGACTCATGGTGCCCTTATATGTGTGAGAGTAGAACTGTGCTCCATAGGGTTTTCAAAGGCTAATGTTTTGGAAGTAGATCACAAAGCCTTTTTTCTAAGGTGCCTCTGGGTATGTTTGAATTGCTGACCTATCAGTAAGCAGCTGCATATCTTAGCTATTTGCATCACCCAAGGACTCTGAATGGATCCAGAGTAGACTCTTAGTTCTTAAAAATGATTGTAAACATGTCTGACCCAGATATGAAATGAGAAAACTGTATTTTCTAATGTTTGCTTATTTAAATCTCAAACTAAATTTGTCATTTTAAATTTCTTTAGGAACTCAAACAAGACATTTCTAGTTTTCGTTTTGAAGTGTTGGGATTACTAAGAGGAAGCAAACTTTCCACTATACAATCCACTAACGGCACAAAGGAGTCCTCCAACTCAGCAGACTCAGATGAAAAGAGTGATAATGAAAGTAGTAATAAGGACAAGAAAAAGAATTTTAGCCTTTTTGACTTAACTACTCTGATTCATCCAAGGTCGGCAGCGATTGCCTCTGAAAGACACAACATAAGCAATGGCTCTGCCCTCGTGGTGCAGGAGCCCCCAAGAGAGAAGCAGAGAAAAGTGAATTTTGTGACTGATATAAAAAACTTTGGATTATTTCATAGACGATCAAAACAAAATGCTGCTGAGCAAAATGCAAGCCATATCTTCTCTGTTTCAGAAGAAGTTGCTCGTCAACAGGCTGAGGGAGGACCTCTTGAGAGAAATATTCAACTAGAATCCCGAGCATTAGCTTCAAGGAGTGACCTGAACATTCCCGGTCTCAGTGAACAATGTGTACTAGTGGACCACAGAGAAAGGAATACGGACACATTAGCTTTGCAGGTAGGCAAGAGAGTGTGCTCCTTCAAGTCAGAGAAAGTGGTGGTAGAAGACACTGTTCCTATCATACCAAAGGAAAAACATGCCAAGGAGGAGGACTGTAGTACAGACTATGACTTATCCCTCACAGAAACAATCAACCACGAAGATTATGTGACAACAAGATTGTGATACTTGAAGGAGGAAGAGTTTACCATGCATATATATATTTTCCATAGTGCTCTGGGCAGGGCAATATGTTTAAAATTAAATTAGCAAATGCTAACTTACACTTTATATAGCATTTATCAACTGTGGCATATTAACTTGTAACATGTTCAAATAAGGAAAAGGCTATCAAAAACCCTTCTGTTTTGTAGTCTGCTTTTGCTTTCACAATGTTTTACAATATTTTTGTTAATAAATAAATGTACCTTGTATTCTTGTACTGTTGCAATAACCTACAGAAAATTTTTAGCTATCTTTTTCAATTAAAACAGATGCAATTTATTCAATGTGATAGTTGACTCCTGTCATAAATATTTATACATGCAAATAAGAATGTAGCTGAAATATGAGAGCTTTTCATAAATTTTTAGCGTCTCTAGAGATGGCTACTTACCAAGGATTTTTCACACAGGGTGACAGTGTGGTTTTAAAACACAAATATTTCCAATTTTTTTTTTTTTTTTCTTAACAATATGTAAATAATGATAGTACAAAATTAAAACAAACAAGCTTCTTCTCTTGGAATTATGACCAAACTCTCTCTGAACATGAAGGTCAGATATACTTTGTAGAGCTTTAGCTTGTCCCAGTGTTTCCTTTCCATTAGTATAAGAAATATTTGTCTTCATAAATTTAGATGACTGATGATTTTTTGGGGACATTTTGACAG